TTCAAAATTGGTCCATCAAATCCATTTAGGGGGTGTTTGTTTCAAATCCTATAATTTTAGGATATGGATTTCACCATAGGATTTGAAATCCATAGGTAATTTGTTATGGGTTGGGATTCCTAAAACTTTGTTTGTTTTAATAATATTTTGGAATTCGGAATACTATAATTTGTAATATTTTTGTTTGTTTTAAACTTTTTGGAATTTTAAATCCCCATAATTTGTATAAAGCTTTTGAAATCCACCCCACATCCCACATGAAAAAAGCATATTACAAATCCTTAAATATATTACTTTTTTATTATTTGAGGATTTAATATCCCAAAACTTATTTTGAAACAAACAAGTTTAATGGAATTCTAAAACCCCAAAAAACCTCTTTTTACATCCCAAAACTTGAAATCCACACTATATCCCAAAAAAATAAAACAAACACCCCCTTAGCATTAAGATTTAATTAACTAAGGTCCATCAATCTTATGTGGGCCCCAATTTGAGCTAGACCCACAACAGGCTGTGTTTTAGTTTTTTTACTCTTATTAACATATTTTAAGTTTTGGGGAGATGAATATAATTTGAATTTTCATCATTATTAACTAATGAAAAACCTTACTTCTTGTTTAGTTTTGTTGTACTCATTAATAATATTATATTCTACTTCTTTCAGGGAAGTAGTTAGGAAATGCATAATTCAGAAGCATTCAGAAACTAGCACTCGATTCTTGTTTTAATTTGTTTCCTTCCTCGAAACATTTTGTGATAAGAATGTGAAAGCATCTTATACATATCTTTTCTTGAGTATCTGATGTATATCATCAAATATGATATTTACCATATATATTGCATCTGATATATTATATGCATCTGTAATGATGATTCAGTTTAGGGCTCATTTACCGCTGACAGGGGCTGTCAGGGGCTGTCTGTCACTTGCTTTACAGACATAAAGAACATAGCACTTGCCATAGTTTTGTTCTTGCTAATGTGCTCAGTTAACATCAGAATCACCATCAACACAGTTCCTTACGCAAAAGGTACATACGCCCTAGACCTTGGTTTTTAAGCTTGAACGAAAGTATCACAAGTATCATTTTTTGATTTCAAATGAAAAAAATGAGATTCTGATACAAAGCATCTCGTGCAAATATGTAAAATCTATGAAAAGCACATATTAGCGCATTCGTCCCTGGCCTCATCAAACAACTGTGTGCTGATATATCTTTCTCCTCCACTTGAAAACATCGTTACGATCATCTTATCTTTGTTTTCAACTCTCTTCGCAACCTGTCAAACAATAGAAGTAGGAACTGTTAATGTGATCATGTAAACAACATTGATAGTGTTGAGTAAAATTATAAACCTCAATCCTTATAACAACTTTGAAGGTTTGGATGCATTCAAAAGAGACTTTAAGCTCAAATCATAGAGTACATTAAACTTCGAATTTAAGAAAAAAGTATTGATGCATAAAATAGTCCAGATTACAGTTCATGAAAAGACACTCAACATGAAAAGATATATTAGAGTATAAATTACAGGACATTCTCATAAAACCTCGCTGAAGTTTGGGGGATTTTGCACAAACCCCCTAGACTTTGTAAATCGAAGAAACTCCTATGAACTGGTCCCACGTAAGAACTTTTACACAGTTCTACTGTTTACAAAACATAATTTCTCTATTACCCTTTTAGCGTAAGTACAGAAAAAAGATTTAAAAAGGGCAGTTCAGACTTTTCTAATCTCTCTGTTAACACCGTCTATGAGAAAAAAATTAAAAAGGTAAAAAGCCTAACCTTTAAGCATGCAGTTATGTTTGCTCCTGAGGATATGCCCACAAGCAAACCTTCTTCTCTTGCAATCCTTCTTGCATGAACCATTGCTTCCTCTGTGGTTACGGTTATGATCTCATCGACATGCGACATATCCACATTCTTTGGAACGAAACCAGGTCCCATCCCTTGGATATTGTGGGGCCCTGGTTGACCCCCTGTATAAAAATTATCAAAATCCATGGCTATGGTTTCAGTAATTCATAAGCTAATTAAGAACTTATTGTTGTGTTTTCTTTGATACAAATTCAATGAGTACATCAGTGAAACATAAATTGAAGTGTCCTGAGACCGGATCACATTTACTATAGAATTCTCTATACGAGATTATACCAAATTGAAACTACTTTTTTCTTACTCTAAAATCAAAATTACCTGAAAGGACTGCACTCTCTGCAGGTTCAACGCAAATTATCTTAATACCAGGATTTTTCATTTTGAGATATTTTCCAGTACCAGTCAATGTACCTCCTGATCCAGTACCACATACAAGGATGTCAACTTTGCCCCCCGTGTCTTTCCAAATCTCTGGTCCTGAAATTCGATGCATTAGGTCCCAATTAGAACTCTTGACAATTTATTATAACCTCTATCAGAATGATCACTATAAGAGATGAAAATACCTCAACAGAAAATTTCTTCAATGAAAAATAGCTTTACTTGAAGCATAATCAAATTGAAGTTAATTGTGTAAGCATGTTATGACAAACTGGATAAAAGATACAGATACCCAATTATCAGAGATATGAAAGTATTATATTACTGATGAAGTATTCAGGAAATAAGATAGTGAATAATCTGAAGAAACACAACGCAACATAAAGAAGCAGCAACAAATTCACTAAATATTAACATTATGTACTCAACATCCAGATTTTGGATTTGTAAGATATCAATAAAGACACAAAAAACTTCAAAGCTATCATGTCCCTCCAGATTCAAAGTATTTTCGTGGACTGAAACTTATGCTTTTCTACATAGCGATACCTTTTCTTAATCTGCTTTAACTACAAGCCTAATGAAATTTGAACCTGGATTATTCTGATACTAAAAACCCTACCAGTACACCAAATTTGGAAGTTTCAGTAAATTTTTTTAAGGATAATTGTACTTACAGCATTAGTTTGCCTAGTTGCTTGATTAGCAAATTGCCATGTACTAATTCTTTTCAGGAATCAGAAATTGTAGGCGAACTAATTGGAGTATACTGAGAATGAACATAAGTTGCATATGAGTACCGGTGCATGTGAAATGTGCTTCAGGATTTGCTGGATTAGTAAACTGATCAAGAACATATACATTTGGATCCGTTTCTTTCAGCTGCTCAATTCTATCAACCTGTCCCTGAAATCCAAGTTTAGGATCTACAGAAACACCAAACAACAAAATCTATAATTAATTAAATGGTATTATGAATCGAACAAGGAAAAAAGAGGGTATCTGAATCTAATTGCAGTATATAAATACAAGAGAATAAGAAAACCACAATATGGACATTCTCCTTTCCAGAAGTCTCTTCCACAGATCATAACTCCAAAAATATGGATCAAAATAAGACATCAAAGGTTGAACATCCCTTTCTTATGGATGAAACTTAAGCTTTTTTTTATGCGATGTTACTTTTTTTAAGTCTGCTTTAAAATACACGCCCGTTCAGCTAGAACATGGGTTGCTCTGATACCATCTCCACTTTGTTATAACAAAAAGTAACTTTCAACAGAGATGTATGTATTACCAGAACAAGTAGGACTCACAGTAATCAAGTAACTCTTTTGCACAAACTTGGCCAATATAATACAATTTCTCTTATAAAAAAGGGGTAATGATACAAAACTCCCCTAAATTTTGGGGTGTTTGGAGCAAAACTCTCCTAAGCTTCATGAATTAGAGAAAATCCCCATGAACTTGATTCACTTGAATACTCTGACCGACGTAAAATAGTTTATGTTGTCATATGCAAAATAATCGAGAGTTTTTTAGATTAGGATTAATAGATGTTAAAAAGAATAGCTTAGAAGTCAACCCATTTATGGCAATTTCAAATAGTTTAGCTGGATTTTGTATAATTTTATGAGGTTTAAGGGGTTTGTGAAAAAAAACTGAAAGTCCAGGGGGGTTATGAAATTTACCTTTAAGAAAAACTTTACTATGGAAAGAGAGCCAATAAAGTTCAGTATAATAAGAAATTCTTTCTCACCAGTTATTGAAACATCGGCGCCCAAATATCTCAACAGCATCCTTTTATCAAGTGAAAAATGAGCAGGCATGACGCCAATGAACTTGTAGCCTTTTCTCGCAGCTATATAAGCCAAACTAATCCCTAAATTTCCACTTGTTCCTTCAACTAATTTTGTGATTCCAGGCTTAATCAGACCCTTCTCCTCAGCATCCTCCATCATTCTAAAGAAAAGAATATATGTAATTAATGTGAGAAAAATCTTTTATTACACTGCTTGTAGTAGCTTAGAGTAGTAGAACCACCTGATAGGTTGCATGAAATCATCATCTCAACGCACTTCTCATTTTTTTGAGTAACCAGGCCAAGATGTCAAAGTAATTTATTAACTAGAGAAAATAGATGTAGACTATACATAAATAGATGCAGAATATACATAAAGAAGAGAGAAAAGTACAATAAGGTGAGCTAAGAAGACGGATAAGAAGACGAAAGAGAATAACCTACATTTCTGAATCAAGGCATCATATACGCCGCCGCTTCATGATGGTCATCTATTTGGCTGTAGAGAAATGATGTCGTCCTAGAGGGACACTGATCGTACAATTAGGCTATGTAAAATGTTCGCATCTCTGACTTAATTCTCAAATACTATGTCATTATGTTCAATACAAACATAGAAGTAGCATGCGATGACGATACAATCTCACTGATTAAAGAGATGCAACAAATTTTCTGATGCCACGAGCTCCAAAATGCTACACAGCCTACACTCACCGATGGTTGTGATTTGAGCAATAGTCAATGAGAATAGCATTCCAAATATTTTAAGTGTAAGAGCAATGGAGGAAGATCACTAAGACACGTACGATAGACCTAATTTATTGCTGTTCTCATTATCGTATACTTGTGATATGCCATGGTCGTTGACATTTCTGTTGTATACATGTTGTGACTGAATAAATTAATTGGAGATGCATGATTTGATCAGATTAAACACAACGAAAGGAAGTAGATATTCATCTTCATTAATTTTTTGTTATCAGATTTTGTTCAAAAAAACCCTGGACAAGAAAGTTCCCAAATTTTACCAATTGCTGCTTCAGGACTTAAGTTTTTGGGTAAAAAGATTGTTGACATTCATAAACAATCTGGTCAACTTGGAGGCAATCAGTAAATAAAAAAGCTTCTTTGCATAAATAGGATATGACATGCAAGTCACAGAATCAAATTACAGCATGGACTTCACTAAGGATTGTGTTGCCTGTGTATGCCCTTTGTGTCATTTAGCTCAAAAGAAATCATCACTTCCTTAATTCCTAATTGTGTACTGAAAATGCATACTTCCATTTATGATCTACTGTGGGACAAATAGAATAAGTGTCACAAAGCACCACTGAATTTTGGGCATGTTGCACAACCATTGAGCTTTCCAGACATTAAATATACACCTCTGGACTATTGGAAAATCTCATAGACAATGTTACTTGGTAGAGTAGTTTGAACTATGGTAAATTATGATTCATCATGAATTTTTTAAATGAACAACATTCATGTAGGAGAAGATCACAAAACAATCAGGCCACATTTTTAAATTTTCTACTTTACACGTGAACACTGTTTATAAGATCTTCCAATAGCTCGGAGAGGTTTAGCATGTGATTTTCTCTTATTTATAAAGTTTTCGGGGTTTTGTACAAAAGCCCCCAAAATTCAGGGGAGTTTTGTAAGGTTTCACATGTAATCTGAACAACTGAAAGTGTATCATCCTAAAACACGTGTATGTGATGAAACTCAGATTGATCGATTACAATTATTGGAAAAACTAAATATCCTATTAAGAGTTCGAAAATATGGCATGCAAACCTGAGAGCAGCGCGATCTTTTACAGAAGAAAGAGGCTGGTAGGATTCCATTTTAGCGATCAATCGAGCATCAACTGCTTCCTTTTTCGCTATATTTTTCAGTTCTATTAATGGTGTCCATCCTACAAGCTAAACATACAAGCAAAACATTTATCATCCTACTTAACATAAAATTAAGGGTAATTACACTAAACCACCATGAACTTTCAATGTTTTGTAATAAACCCCCATGAACTTTCAATGTTTTGTAATAAACCCCCATGAACTTAGGTAACTTATCCTAAACCGCCATGAACTTCCAAAATGCCTTTTTATTTGGAATTGCAGAAAATCCACATGAACTAGGGTAACTTGTACTAAATCCCCATAAACTTTCAAAATGGCTTCTTATTTGGATCTAATTTATGGGGGTTAACTACAAAATTCAGAAAATTCATGGGGGTTTTCTGCAATTCCAAATAGTTATTGGAGATCTAGTGTGATTTTGAAAGTTCATTGTATGGATTTTGACAAGATTGATAATGCACCAAAATGATCTCTTAAGTATAATGGTATTCTTGGCAAGTAAAATGGTCACACAAGTATGATTCCAGGTTACCATCAAGATTCAGACGTACAACATATATCTGATCTGTAATTCATCAAAAGAACAGTTGAAAGTACTAAAAAAATATTTTCGTCCAAAAATAGGAACAAGAACATCAAGATGAAGCAACCCCAAATCATAACACAAAATTTATTTCAAAAATAATTAATACAATCAATTTGTATACCTGGGTGATGTCTGAGACGATGTTCTCTCTATAACCTTCATTATGTGCTGATGCAAAAGAAGCCAGGCCTCTTCTATCCTCCATTTCTTCGTGTGGTTCTTCGTTTCCTCTATTTCCCTCAGCGAGACCCACGTGCGCTTTTATCTTAGAATTTATTATTCTATGTGGGTAAGTGATAAGGCTTCTTCCTTTTAGTGCCTATTTGGTTCGTTAACTTCTTTTCCAAAACTCATTTTCCTAAACTTTTTTGTGTTTCCTTCACTTTCATGTAAAGTATTTTTTGTGTTTGTTTCGCCAAAAAATATGAGCTGAAAGTACATTCCACCATTTTTCTTAATTTGGTTCAACTTGAAAAAAGAAGAAACAAATGATATGTGAACAGATTCCCTCGCTTTCTAGTGTTTGGTTCAAATTAAAAAAAAAAAGTATGACTATGGTCACCGTGGTGTGCTTACCACCCTTATAGCATAAATTTATTTTCACCATAAATTGAGAGATGGACATATATCAACCGTCACATAAAAATATTTAAAAATTTGAGGGACTAATTTGTAATTTTTAAAAAAGATTTGAGGTAGTGATTTGCAACATATTCAAAGATTTGAGGGACTAATTCCAAAATCGTATAATCATCTCATATAACAAATAAACAAAATGCTCAATGAACAAGACATAATTGAATGTCATAAGTATCAATTGATTACAGGTACATCGATCGCCAGCATGTAATATCCAAGACTGAACCAAGGCTGAAACCAACTCGAGAGAAACCAAGACTCGAACAACCCAAGATTGAAACTAAACAAAAACTTAATGTTAGACCCTAGAGGGGGGTGATTAGGGTCTTATGCTAATCTAATCCGATTAAATGCCAATTAAAACTAATTAACAAGTTTATTCTTGCAAGATAGATATACAAAGAGTTATGTGCAAGAATATGCAATATACACAAGGTGATATATCCTATATGATAGAAATATATGCAAGGATATATAAACAATAAGATATATCCTAACAAAGAGATATAGACAATATATGTGCAAGGATATAAAACTAACACAAGGGTAAATACTCTAAACTAGATGGAGGGCAATATAATCAACAAGCAATATACAAAGGCGATATAAGATATGAACATAAAAGTAAGTGCGCCAATGCAATCACAAACAAACAATATGATTACGGAGTTCGGTCCCCACGACCTACGTCTCCGCTCCTCACCTCGAGGAGATCTCCACTATCTCAACCGGGTTTTCTACGTTCACCCGAACAACGTTTACACCTCACAATACAATCACTATGTAATCACACCTCACACACTAAGTGTTGGTCCTAGCCCGTGTCCTCCTCCTCAAGTGCTCGGTTACAACCTCTCCCTAGGCACGTCAACCGACGCCATTCCTCTTGGATTCGACCCCGTCTCTCACCACACACTTCTCTCGGTGTACAAGTGTATTACAAGTGAATCCTCATAATTAAGCACAATATAAATCAATTTGATTGTTCTCTCAACAAGGTGAGAACTCAATTAAGCACAACTCTTAGTCACAAACCCACAACCCCAAATTATACTATGAATGTAAATACAATAAGCTCAATAGGTTGTGTGTGAACAAAGAGATAAAACAATATAAACTTAATATGAAATCTAGCTTATGAAATTAAGAACAAACTTATAAAATGCTAGAATTGAGTTGAAGGAAACTTCTCTATAGATGAAAAGAGAGAGGGAGAAGAATGAATTCTCAAACACCAAGGATAATCTCCACTTGCTCTTGTGAAATTGAATTCACAAACTCAAAACACTCAAATGCTTAAAAGCTTATAAACACCCTTTAAACAAACTTAAACTCTTGATTAAAACTTTCTTAAACTTGTTTTAAAACTCTCTTGGATGGCTTGAAAGAAAACAGCAATAGGGTATTTATACTCACTCCAAAACTCAGCCAAAAACCAAAAACAAAAGACCAAAAACACCCCAGCAACGGTAACAAAAATAGCCGTTGGAAGCAGTCAGAACAAGCGGCGGTCGACCGACGAAATCATTCGGTCGACCGACAAAATCATTTGGTCGACCGACGGAAATTTCGGTCGACCGCTATCCAGGTCAAACAATCGTCGGTCGACCGGTGCGGTCGACCGATGGAGCTTTAGGTCGACCGGACCGGTCGACCGACAGACTCTCTGTCGCACAGTGAAGAAAGATCAAATGATCGGTCGACCGGTGCGGTCGACCGAAATCTGACACATGAAAAACCTGTTTTGCTGATTTTAAAATAATGTTTAAAAATATCAAATAAATTCTAAAAAAATATAAAACTTTGGGGAATGATTGTAGACATGATAATAAACATGCTACAACGACTGGTTTCGAAAAAGAACTTCCCAAATGAAAAATATCATCATTTTGCAAAATAGTCCAAAACACGAAAATGTAAACATGTGAATTTTGACATTTTGGCTAAACCAACTTTTGAAACTTTACAAAATGATTTTATAGACTTGAAGAAAGATGTAAACTATTGTTATGAAGTCTATAAACAATGAATGTAGTATTTTATCAAAATACACATATAATGCACTAAAAACATGATTTCATTTAACTAACTAAAATTGATATTGATGAAATCATATATATGCATATGAGTATGAAACAAAAATATGTTTTCTAATTATATTCAATTGTTTCATAGTAAAACTTGAAAACTATCAAACCAAAACATATATGTATATATATAACTATATATATACAAAAACCAAAACGTGTATGTGTGTATATGATTGAGCTTAAAGTACTAACACACATAATATAAATTCCTAAACTAAATTACCCAAGCAATGATCTTGATCTTCAATAAGCTTGACTTGGTAATCTCGCGGATGAAGCTTGAACTTGGATCTTGAACTTTGAATAGCAAGGCTTCACCGACATTCCGCCAACCTCCTTTGGATATGATCGTTGAAGCTCTATTCCATCCATCCTCCAACAACGTTGTTTGTCTACAAAACATAGGAATGCACAAACACTAGACAAACAACATTAGTAATAAATTGTTTGTTAAACATCATCAAAACAAGAAGGCCAACAATCTCCCCCTTTTTGATGATGACAAACAATTTACAAAAAGGAATATATGCATGAAGGAAATGAACATATACAAGATAATAACTCACATGCATATAAACAAACAAGATAGATATACTCACAATATTTCTCCCCCTATAATATATCATGCATATAAACAAGAAAGAATATACATATACTCACAATATTTCTCCCCCTTTGACAACATCAAAAAGGGAACAAAAAGAATAAGAGAGCGAAAGCTCCCCCTAACAATATGCATGGGTGAGTATAACACATAGAATGATATAGGGATTGCTCCCCCTATCAAAATGCCATATGAAATATAAGTAATAAAAGATCATGGCAAACATGTGAGCAAGCATAAAAAATATGCTAAGAGTCACTCACATTCAAGAGATAATGAGAACATATATAAATATATCAAGATGAACATATTGTCTCATATCAAAAAAGCCAATGATAAAAAAGATTTATGAAATCACAAGAAGGAAGACATGAGAATCATGTAAAAAGTTTTCAAATGAAAACAAATCAACCAATGAAATCATAAATTAAAGTTTAAATCCAAAAACGATGTTTGATCAATCAAGAAAATTTTCTTTGTAGGATTTGATCAAACCACATATGGAATACATTATAAGGCACGAATAGATGATCCATAAGCACAAACACATAAATATCATCATATAAGTGAAATATAATAAATTCAAAGCAATAATTCAAAACAAAATCTTTGATAAAAGAATTTCAAGAGAGGCAACAATATATCAAGCTCTTAAGCTTGGTCTAACCCATATAATCATTCTAGCATCCGGTAAACATGATTTGGGAATAAACACCCAATAAATCCGGAGGGTTATATAAATACAAACCTCTCATCAAAATCAAAACTAGGAATTATGAAAACAAAAAAATTTGACCAATAAAAGGAATTGTTTTCATAAAAGTTTAAAATATATTTTTCAAAACCAAAAAAAAGAAAATTAAAAACACTAAAATTCTTGGTTTAAAATCAAATTTGTTTTGGTACCCAAGTATTCTTGGTACCAAAAGATTTAGGGACATGACCCCTATCATTCAAGCTCAAAGCCCTAGGGTTATGAACCCGTTTGGGCACATATGGTGCACTAGCACGATCAAAACAATATTCATTCAAATGACCCTTTCGATTGCAATTCGTGCAATGAAAAGAGTGAAAAGATTTGTGTTGACCAAGTGAGTGTGCACGAAAATCATTTGCAACTAGAGATTGTCTTTTAAATTTATTTTGCAAATGAGAAACCTTATTAAACAAAGGTGGTTTACTTGAGAAATTTGGCAAGTTTGAACATTTTTTCAAATCATAACAAAACTTAGCCAAATGACCAAATCTACCACAAATATCACATTCAAACACTTGTGGTCTACTAGAAATATTTGGCAAACTAGAATTCCTTTTGAAATCAAAGCAAAACTTTGCCAAATGGCCAAACCGACCACAAAGATCACAATGATACACACTAGCATGCTTATGATGAATATTATGTGCATGTGCATGAGTGTATGATGAAGAATCCTTATGAGATGCACAAGAAGCATTGATATTACTATTTTTAGATTTTTGTGCATCATAGCAAAATTTAGATAAATGGCCTTTACGACCACAAATAGACTTATAAATTTTGCTATACATGTGTGCATGATGTGTAATATGTTTAGGTGTAGTAGCATGAGACTTAGCACACATGTTCATAAGCTTATCATGGTTTACCATGCATGTTTTTAAGGTTGAATCTAAACAAGATATGCGATGTTTAACTTGACTCAACTCAACATTTTGCATACATGTATAGGAAATAGAAGTAGATGAAACAATATCATTTCTAAAAGAATTAAACTCATTTCTAATAGTTTCTACTTCTATCATGGCATCATTATTAGCATGAGTTAAGCTAGATATAGATGAAGTCAATTTTTTATTTTCCAATTTTGACATATCATTAATTTCTTTAAGAGCAACATTTTCTTGAGAAATAATATCAAAATTGGAAACTAGCTTCTCATGATCGGATTTTAAACTAAC